ATTATTTATTTTTTTAAAATCTAGACATGACATGTGTCATTTAACTTTTTTTTACGGTAGAAACAAAAAATGTAATGGAAAAAACATTAGACGCCTATGTTTAACAAAAAATTCTTTAGGCTCCAAAATTCAATTTGAAATATAGTTTAGACACCTATAAGTTATTAACCCTAAAAAAATATAAATGAAAAAACATACAAATTTTGTCTAAATCACTTACATGTAAATCACTTACGTGTAAATCACTTACACGCTAAGTCACAGACTTAATGAGGCATAACATAAATATATGTATATACATATATAACAATGAATTCATGAACATGCATTATTACCATTGATCATGACATTTCAACTTGCATGTATCTATTACACTATAACATATATGATGATAACATGCACATATAAAACTCGTATTCTTATGCTAGTTTCACTTTAATTTATCTTTGGATTGCCCATATACATTATTGAGAACAGAAGGTACGCGAGTACACTGAGGTTGTGCACAATGTTGTCACCACAGTTCGAATAAAATCCCACTAGAGGCACTGAATATTTGTCCCGAATGACCATTATGTCCCGAAGGACCATTATGTTCCGAAGGACCACTGATAATCCCTCGACTCTTGGCATGCCAATTATACCTACAACTCTCATATTAAATATCATGAGCTTAATTATAGATACATTTCTCATTTCATATCTCTTTTATCACTGTCCATATAAACATATAAGTCCCTTCATATGATCATTTCCATTATTTCACATACCTGGAAGGATTCTCTGATAATGGAATTCATTCATATAATATCATGTTAAATCATGAATGAATTATGCATGGAATCACTATAACATTAACACACATATATATATATATATATATATATGCATGTGCATGAATATGGAATCATAAATTCAATTATAAGAGATAGATTTATCGCAAGTCTTATCTCAATACAATTATATCTAGTATATGCACTCACCTTAGCCTTGCTTGATTTGACTCGATCATAATCCTTCGATTGTTCCGGAATAAGATTACGTTCTATATCTACATAGTAATACATTGATACATATCAGTATACTAATTGATATATTCTAAATTATCACTTCTTAGACTAAAAGAAAGGCTAATTTCATCTCTTAATGAAGGTATGTATCGATGCATCCCTTAATATGTGCATCGATGCACTATCTATGCATTGGTACACAAATCACATTAAGGGGGTGCATCGATGCACTAATTGCATTCGATGTTTATTTATTTGAGAGTGCATCGGTACACATTGAAGATGCACTGATGCACACGACCCAGAAATTCCATTTTAAGCACGAAATTCACTCTCTTTTCAACTCAACTCTTCATCTTTCACCTCCTTTAATATCCCTAACTTGCATACATATACTTACACTCATTACTACTCAATAATCACTTCTTTAAACTCAAAATCCTATCCTTTATATGGCATTCAAGAATCACATTCAATTTCCAACATGTTCTAATTCCTATTCTAACACTTCCTACTCTTTAATTCTACTAATGACAAGTCAAATTCAACTTTCAATTCTCCTTATGAACTTTATTTCAAAATTTCATTCAAGAACTTCTAACCTTTAATTCTTCCTACACCCTTCATCTTGTTGTTTTAAAACAAATTAAGCTTTCCTTAAGCTTAATTAGCATCTAATGATCAAAACCAAACTTAAATTTCAACACATAATCAGCTTATGAGAAATCTCACCTTTGCTTTGAACCTTCACGTACAAAGAAGAAGAGAGGAGAAGAGAACTTTGGAAACCTTGTGTTTTGCCTCCTCCACTTTCACGTGTAGCATATATATAACCCTTCTTCAATTTAATTATTTACTAACAAAATGACCATGTTGTCCTTTCATTCTTCATTCTTTGAAATTTTATCCTATACAATATTTTTATATAAGTCCTTGAACTAATCAATTATTCTACTTTAATCACCAAATTCTGTAACTTTACAATTTAATCACTAACCCGATATAGAGGATATTACACATAGTATCGATACCGTCAGACCCCAATGGCTAGTAATGGCTAGTTGATTTAAATATAAACAAAGGTAGTATCAATACTCCCTTTAAGAGTATTGATATCCCCTGTTCTGGGCAGTTTTATTTTGCAGAGATTTCATCCCCAAACGACTATAAATCATCCCCAACAGCTAGAAACGACCACAACAACATTCCAACATATAAATAAAGTTCAAGACACTTGAAGAAGGGTTAGAACACCTATCCAATCAATCAAACACAAGAGAATAATTTTCCATTCTTATTTTTCTATTCTCTTGTAAATATTGTGTTTTAGCGAGTTTAATTCTTTGTAAACACCTACCTTTGATAAGTTTATTTGTTTACTTCTTTTTACCTTTTTGTAAAAGGGGTTTGGTTCTAGTTTAACCAAGTGAAAAACTAGGGAGTTTAAAGGTTATCTCTTGATCCTTTAAAAGGAAAGAACAAATTAGTGAATTTGTTAGAAAATCCTTAGTTATGAGCTAAAATAGTGGAGGTAGACTTGATTGACAAGTCGAACCACTGTAAATGCTTGTGTTCATTGTCTTATCTTTTACTCTCCTTACTCCCTAAACAAATTATTGTCAATTCACCCCATTTCAACTTTTTAGGTTATTAATTCAAACTTCCGCAAATCCTAACATAAATGCTTAAACATTCCAATAAACGACATGCTTCAATTGAGACTTTTAGAGATAACAAATATCTCTTCACTCTTTTAGACGTACATGATGTAATTGCTTGACAATGGTAATATAAGATATTGATGTTTTAATTACATGTGTATTTATCTTCAAACATGGGTGATTATAGTGTAATATTTATTCATAATATTTCTTAACAATTGACAACGTACACACATTCTATGAACCTTAATTTTCGAACCCAAAATCTTAAAGAAAAACAACACCTCCTTTAACCACTTCTCAATGAATTCATTTAACATATTAATTATTTAATAGTATATTGAATGTAAAATTTAGTTAGTCTTACTAATTTTTTTATGACATTTAATACTGATATATTTTAATTTAATACCGTTTAAAAAATTTATCACAAGAATATTTCAATAAAATATACTCTTAAATAATCATACTTTATTATAAACCAAACACTATAATTTTATATCTCACTAAAATTATTTAAATAATATTATTTTTTGACAATTTATTTTTATAATTAATATTATATCATGAACCAAACGTCCCTTTATTATATTCTAAAACATATAATTTTAATTTACAATTTTCAACCTAATATAAAAAATAAATAATTGGCAAGCACATCGTTTAAAATTTTGAGTAAATTACAAATTTAGTGCCTAAATTATCAATTTTGGTATATTTTAGCACCTAAACTTTTAATTTTCTTTTCAAAACCATACCTAAACTTTAGTTTTTGTTTCATTTTAGTATCCGCCGTTAAAAACTTTAGTTTTTATTTCATTTTAGTACCCATTCAAAATTTAAAGTTAAATTTTGAAAAGATTGAAAGTTTAGGAACTAAGAAGAACCAAAACTAATAGTTTAGGTACTAAGTGCGTTAAGTTTTTAACGGCATGTACTAAAATGAAATGAAAATCAGACGTTAGGGGTTTTAAGAAAAATGAAAGTTTAGGCACGAAAATAAATCAAAACTGATAAATTAGGTACTAAATGTGTAATTTACCCAAAATTTTAAAACTATTTTCTTAATAACATCGTAGCACTTAATTATAAATTTAATAATAAATAATTTTTTAAAGTTATAAATATATAATTTATTTAAAATATTATTATAAAGAAATCATTCAATTGTTAACATTGAAATATGTGCTTAAACTATCATAATATAATATTACTTTTATTCTTTAAAATTTGTACATTATAATTTAAAAAATTTAATTTTTCTATTTAAAAAATTTATCAATTTTTTTTTTTGCAAAACTATCAAATGAAACAGGCACATAAATTCAAAACAATAATTGAATAATTATATTATGTCATAAAAAAAACAAAATGAGTTTATAACATCAACACAATAATTGAATAATTGTATTCAATCATAAAAATAACAATTACTATTAAATTATTTTTATACCATAGAAATAAAAAGAAATTAATATGACATTTCTTAGAGAATGACACTTAATTTAGAATAAGAATATAGACAAAAATAAAACAGTTTTAAATTAGATAATTAAATTTATTAAATTATTTAGATTAGAAACAAATTAGTAAGTTGTTTAAGTTTTAAAGACTAAAAACATTATTATATCGTACTACATGATTATTATGTTTGATATTTATATAGAGAAAAGTATACAAATAGTCTCTTGACTATACGATGATGTTTTATTGAATCTCATAACTATTAAATGTTACAAAATGATCACGACTATAATATTTTGCTTTGTTGAGTCCCTTAACTATTAAAAATTATAAAATGATCACATGACTATTCATATGTTCCAAACTCGTCTTTTTTTTGTTAAAAAGTTGCTGACGGTCTAAGTTGAATGTTAACCTGCTAACTATGATAGATAAAATCTGATCCCAGAATCTCAAACGGCTATCATATCCCAATCATCATGTTAGTTTCCATCTCAGATGATCGATATTTTTTTTAACGAAAAAGGATGAGTTTAAAACATATAAATAGTCAGATGACCATTTTGTAGCTTTTAATAGTCGATGAACTCAATAAAGCAATATCCTATAGTTGGAGGATAATTTTATAACTTTTAATAGTTTAATGACTTAAAAACTATTACCATACAGTCGGGGACCATTTTTGTACTTTACCCACTTATTTAATGATTTGTTTATAATTATATTTATTTGAGCAATTTATTTGTAAGTTTTAGAAAAGGTGAGCTGTAACTTATCAAACTAATAATTAAGTGACCTTAGGTGTAGTTTAGCCTAAAAAATAAAAACAAAAAACAGAAGAGTCCTCGATTTATACCTCTATCCCTCTCTCTCTCTCTCTCCCTCTTCAAAACCTTCTGCTCTAAGCTCTCTCTTCCTTTTTTTTTTCAATTGAAATTTCCATTTCCATTTTGAAATTTCGCAGATCTCTCTTATCTTTACAATGCCAATTGATTCCGAGTATAGGATTTCTTAACTCGCATCCTCTTCCTTGTTCTGAATCGAATCGTTTTTTTTTGTTTTTCCTTTTTGATTCACTGAGCCAAACCGCCTTTCTTCACTTTTGTTTTATACGACGTGACCAGAAGAATGGGAGCGGTGCCTTCGACGCCGCGCCATACAAGCACCACTGCTGAGGCGGCGGATTACCTAATAGGCACCTTCGTCAGCGAGAAATCGTTTCCTTTGGCTTCCGATTTCTGGCAGAAGCTTCTGGAGCTTCCTCTCACTCTACGGTGGGCCCCTCACCGTGTTCAACAAGCTTGCGATCTCTTCGGTAAGTAGTTTCACTCCCAATTTTACTTCTAATTTGGATAAATATTTTGTTGATCATTTTTCTTTGGAATAATTAGTCGTGCAATTTATTGCTTAATTTTACGTGATTCACAAAATGCACATGTTTTTCTTAGTAATTTTTAATAGAGTTTATTGACATCTATAAAATGGTAGTAACTAAATTATAGGAATACAATGCTTGCTCTTCTAACGATAAGGTTCGACGACTTTTACAGTTTTACTACCTTTGTTATTTAATTGGCTTAGTTTTCAGCACCGAATTGGAATGCTGTCATGTTGATTTTATATGTAGATAACAAATGTTTGGAGATTTGAGTTTCTGCTTGAAGCTTGTGCGCTAGGAAACTTTATCATCCAAAACTAGATGATCTAAAAAAATCTCAACGTATTGTGATATTGAAGAAATTTGTTTGTTATTTGATACTTAATTTTTACTATCTTGAATGTATTTACTATGAGAAATGTACTCAACTTCCAAAGTTACCAAAAGAGAGCTGAGTGAATTGTATTAATCAATTTCCAACATCAGTACTAAAGTTGTCAGAGGCATTGTCTGAAATTGTAACACCTAGCAGCCTTTTTTTCGCTTTTAAATTCTGCCGTTATTTATGGAAGATCATTTGTCTTGTTTCGAAATTCGAATACTCACAATCATGCTAACTTTGTCTATTTGTGGTGGACCCTTCATGTGCAGCACTAAACAACCACCATACAAGGCACCTTGCAAAGATTTTGATTCACCTCTCATGGTGTTTACAAGAGGCAATTCGAACTTCTGGTGCTCCGTCTCCAGTCTATTTGAAGGCTATTAACGCAGTGTATATTTCATCTGTTTTTTTGAAGTACATAATTGAAAATTCACATAGTGACACCATTGAGGAGTTATGCTTGTCACTTCATGAAAATGAACCTGTGCCTAAGGATTTCATGACTGGTAAATCTGTTACTATTTTGCTCTTCATCCTTATTGGTCCGTAAGTTTTGAAATTAAAGTTTGCAAATGAGTATCTTGCAAGTCGTTAATTACTGATAAATTGCATCATGACCTGATTTTTATTTCTAATGTGCAGATCAAAAGATTGAGAATCTTGTAATGCATAATGTGCTTACCTTCCTTGGTTCAATAGATGTAAGGTACACCATGGCTTAATTATGCATTTCTAACATTTGCTCTTCTACTTGAATTTCTCCTAATATCACATTATTTTCCTTGCAAGTCCTACGACGTCCCTTTTACACCAGGAGTTGCTTAACTTCATGCTTGTTGCAATGTCAACTCAACTTCTTTCTGGACCAACACCAGGGCCAAAAGATGTCAACCCTTTTCTTGATGCTGCGATGTCTCAGGTTATAAGTTCAAACCTTAGCTTGATTTTTCGCTCCAAAAATTTCAAATTTGCTTACACATTCTTCGTTTAGCAGGAAAGTTTGTTGGTTAATTTAGTGGTTCGCAGATTGCTACTCAATTATATAATGCGACCTCCTCTTCCTTCTAGTAGTGCTACTGCTTATTCTATTTTTTCTGAAGAAAGTCAGCCGGGTGTTCTACAAAGAGTTGGTTCTGCTGCTGGTATGGTCTTTGCCTTGATGCTCTTATTAATACCGAGCCCTAATATTGGTCCAGTAATGCAGGCAACTTCTACTAATGTATGTTTGTGATAACGTGTATGCTATGCTTGCAGCGAACCTTGTATTGTTGCCATTCAATTATTTGGTCAGTTCAAATAGTGAAGGTTCTAGAAATCAACTGGCAGATTGCAGTCTCCATGTGCTACTTATACTTATTCATTACCATAAATGTGTTGTAAGTGATGGGTCGATAACAGATAAAAGTGATGCAACTGCCGCTATGGATACTGTTTCTAAAGGAAATGCATATTTTACTGTCAACCCCTACAACAAGGCCCTAGAAAATGCAAGGGACGTTGAATGTGAGATCTCTTTACAATATCTTTTTAGGCTAAATAGCATTTCTCATATATTTTTCTCTCTTTTTTACATGCTCATCATTATGATAGCATGCTAGACTTTTGGTGAATGTATAAGAATTCTGCTTGCAGTTGATCGTGCTGATATTGAGGGGAATGCACAAAATGGACCAGTCGTGACATTACCTTTTGCATCCCTATTTGATACCCTTGGCATGTAAGTGTTTTTCTATTCTATTATCACTATGTGAATTAGTAAAATCGCCCTTATGAGATATTGAGGCTTTCCTTTTGTCTTTATTCCTTTGTATTCATAGTGGCAAACTTCAACAAAGAAGTTTGTATGACTAGGGGTGTTCAAACGGGTAATTCGGTTAACCGACCGAACCGAATTACCCAAATTCCATTAACCGAATTTCCCCCCATTAACTGTTAACCGAACCAAATTTTTTCTAAAAAAATTTAACCAAACCGAACTAAGTTCTGTTAATTGATCGGTTAACCGAATTAACCGAAATTTATAAATACTATATATTATATATTAAATATTTAATATTTTTTTCGGTTTTATTCGTTAATTTGGTCGAAATTTATATTATATATATATTATAGTTATTAACACCTCTAAGCTAATAATATATAATATATATTAATTTAATAATTTCCGACCGATTAACCGACTGAAATTTCAGTTCGGTCGGTTAATTCGGTTTTAACCGAACAGTGAACACCCCTATGTATGACTGCTCTTTATTACTGTTACTTTTTGCTAACATTTTTTGTATCTTAATTGATTTTTTTTAACTGTTTTATATAGAATATTGACTGTAAACTTCTATTACATGGTGCATCTATCCTCAGCATAGTTGTAAACTCTGATTGAGACAAATGCTTTGTCACTCGTTACTATATTTGGAATCAATATTCATCTCTCTTGGCTTCTCTTTCTTTCTTGTTTGGTAATTCATAATGGTTCCCATCTGCAGGTGCTTGGCTGATGAGACTGCTGTCCTTTTACTTTACTCATTGCTGCAAGGGAACTCTGACTTTTTGGAATATGTACTAGTGCGAACGGATTTGGATACATTGGTAAGAAGGTCTAGCTTACACTATCTGCATTTCATATATAATCCTGATCAATCTCATTTGCAAAATTACTTTCCAGTTATTTGCTGCAAGGTATGAATTGGGGCTAGTGTCCTATTTGACATATTTAAAATTGTCTGCATCCTGCCTGTCCCCTTTTCCACTAAAAGAAAGAAATAGCTTGAACATATTCTAATTTATATCAAGCTTTCGAATCGCACACATTGCATCAAATTGTGCTTGATCTTGTCTATTCATTTGTTTTTAGTCGTCCATTGTAATTATTCAGTATATACATGGCATTAACATCTAAGTTTGTTTATATGATATGTCGCATACGGTTTTAATCTGTGTTTGTACGATGAATATCAACAGTTGATGCCCATCTTGGAAACGTTATACAGTGCTTCAAGGAGGACATCAAATCAAATATACATGTTGCTGATTATACTCCTCATACTTAGTCAAGACTCTTCATTCAATGCAGGCATTCATAAGATGGTAAGCATCTCTTTTGTTTGTCTGATTTTGACTTTGATGAATAAGTATTGCCTTGATGCCTTATTTACATGGACAGATGCTGCCTGGTGTTCCATGGTATAAAGAGCATCTCCTTTACCAGACATCTCTTGGTTCCCTGATGGTCATAATTTTGATAAGAACCGTCCAATATAACTTGTCAAAATTGCGGGTATGGCTCAAAATATCGTAAATTCTTACTAGATGATGTTATGTTTAGTGAAGTACACTCTAGGAAAATATTGTTGAATGGCTGGATTTCTCTCTTCATATGGTACTTTCCAGCTTTAAGACAGTAATATTTGATTGCATGGGTTCTATATCTGTTAATAGTGTGTTATTTTGGAGTTGATTCCTTTTCTTTTTCATGAATGAACAGGATTTCTATCTTCATACTACCTGTCTAGCAACTTTGGCAAATATGGCACCTCATGTCCATCGTTTGAGTGCATATGCTTCTCAGAGACTTGTCAGCCTTTTCTATATGCTTTCACGCAAGTAAGTCCCTTTATGTTTTGACCACTTTTTTGTTAATCCTGATATTTTATTGTTTTCTCCATTGATCCTTTGATTTTCCCCCCTATGTTGCACAAACCTTCATTTTGCTTGAAAGTACCAGTTTTCGAGACTTTCACTCTCATGTTGATGCTTATTCGGACCCTTGAGCACAGAAAACCTGGAAATATTGAGCATACCTCTGTTGGACTCGTGTCTGAGTCTGAGTAACAATGGTTCATACATATTTTATATTAGCACTGTTTTCCTAATTGTTATCGTAAATGTGTTGGAGTGTAGGTACAACAAGTTGGCAGAGCTAAGGGATGATAAACTGCAAAACAAAACCATCTCAACAGCAGATGGCCTTGTGGAAGATATGGTATCTGTCCTGATTTTGGCACGTGATGTTGCCCTTTGTAATTTAAATGTTGTGTATACCGTATCCTAAAATAGTATTTATTTCGGTTGTTGCAGTCAGCTGAATTGCAAATTTATACCGACTTCTTGAGAATCGTCCTAGAGATATTAAATGCAATTTTGACATATGCGCTTCCTCGGAATCCTGAGGTATTTCGTTTATTAAAGTTATATGTGGTAATCTTATATGCATTCCTGTCCAGCAATCCTAACAAACATATGTATTTGTGCAGGTTGTCTATGCTATTATGCACAGACAGGAAGTCTTTGAACCATTCAGGAACCATCCTCGCTTCACCGAGCTGCTTGAAAATATTTATAATGTATGCTCTATGAGTTATGTGATGAAACTCATTATTAAATCTTCCACTTCTTTGTTTCAATTCCTAAGATTTCCTTTGTGTTTTCCCCTTCTGTGCTTTGTGATTCTTTTGGCATTTTAGGTATTAGATTTTTTACCGACTTCTGAGAACGTCCTAGATTAAATGCAATTTTGACATATGCTTCCTCGATCCTGAGTATTTCGTTATAAAGTTATATGTGGTAATCTTATATTCCTGTCCAGCAATCCTAACAAACATATGTATTTGTGCAGGTTGTCTATGCTATTATGCACAGACAGGAAGTCTTTGAACCATTCAGGAACCATCCTCGCTTCACCGAGCTGCTTGAAAATATTTATAATGTATGCTCTATGAGTTATGTGATGAAACTCATTATTAAATCTTCCACTTCTTTGTTTCAATTCCTAAGATTTCCTTTGTGTTTTCCCCTTCTGTGCTTTGTGATTCTTTTGGCATTTTAGGTATTAGATTTTTTCAACAGTCGTATGGATGCGCAAAGAATGGATGGCGAATGGTCTGTAGAAAAAGTTCTCCTGTTCATAATTAATAATTGTCGATCTTGGCGAGGTGACGGGATGAAGGTAAAATTACACGACGGTATTGCTTAATTTTGGAATTGCAAAGCACTAAATAATTTCTTTATCAAGTATGGTTGCTTCCATTTCAATGCATTTTGTTTCTATCGTCGGCAGATGTTCACTCAGTTACACTTCTCATACGAACAAGAGAGTCATCCGGAGGAGTTCTTTATTCCATATGTTTGGCAGCTCGTCCTATCCCGCTGGTAAGAATCCGAACCTTACAAAAAGTATAACCCGAAATGTGGAGAGAGGAACTATTGGTTGTTGCTTTGTTAAACGATTTGCATTTTTGAACTGGTCGAATTTGACTTTCACTTTAGACAAAATGCTTTTCTTTTATGTTTCTACCCTACATATGGTTGTCGCTGATCTCTAATCCGTTCTCCGCCCCATTTTTCCGTTCAGCGGATTCAGTTTCAATGCAGATGCTATAAATTTGTTCCATGTTGATCTGCATGCCGATGTAAGTATACAATTCGCTTTAAGTCTCATCGGCCTATCATACGATTTCGTTGTCGGGTTCCCTTTATACGAATGATTCTTTCAACATATCATTCTACTTCATTGGTTGTGCATCGGTTATTCATATTGTTCATCAACTGTATTGCAGAAACAAATTTACTATGAAGAACCGAATCCGAACCCGAACGGGGAGTCGATCGAACACCGAGTTCAGCTTGATCCGTAAAAAAAAGAGGGCGTTTTATACCGTACGCTTGTGCTATGCATGTACGGTTTGTGGTGTATTTTGTAAATACATGAAAAGATAAAAAAAAATTAGCAGAAAATGTATTCTTGTTATTCTTTTCTGTTTATATATGTTTGAAACACTGTAGAGGTCCTTTTTGCAGTAGATAAATATTTGCAATCCTTGTATGAAATAAAGAGAGGATTCGGTTATTCCTTTCCATTTCTATTGATATTTCACCCCAAAAACTAAAAAAAAATATTATATGAATTTAATTTAGTTATTAAAAAAATGAATGGTGAAATTTACAAGCTTTAATAGTATGGAAACCTCGATATATTTTATAGGTTTATATCTCAAATAAATATTTGAAGTACTATTTCTATCCAATTATTTAAAATCTTTGCGCTTAAAATTAATATTTGAAATTATTATATATTTACTAAAATTTAGTTTGTCGATGAAACGTTAGAATTTTCAAATAAGATGAAAGATTTAAATATTGATGTTATAAATAAAATAAATTAGATCAAGAGGGTTAATTTTATAATGAGTTTTTGTAGTATCTGATTCAGATTAATCAGTTAATAGACCATATAATGGTGGTAACATTTCGATTTTGCTTTGATCACACTGTTAAAAATTAATTGAACTGTTGATGTGCCATTTAAAAAATAAAAATGACATAACATTATATTATGGTGACAAGTCAATATCACCATTATTTTTTAATATTAGATAATCAAAATGAAACCAAAATTAAACGCTAATTATTATTTTAAAAAATAGTTGGAAGACTAAAATAAAACAATAATGATAGTTAGAGAACTAAACATATAGTTTATCTAATATATTTTTACCTTTAAAATTTTGTAAATTCGTTCTCTAGTATTCTATAAATTCTCTTTATAGCAAAAAATCACAAGTTCGATTAAAAAAAGTTGTCCAAGCTTACCTCTAATCCTTGAGTTCCGAGCTTCACCCTTGGGATCTGAGCTTGAGATTCCTTCTCCATTGTCGATGGAACCTGAGCTTGGTTGGCGAAGATGATAACTGAAGGAAATGACGAGTTTCACAAAATTAGCTATTTAGAACTTAAATACTATATTGCACGATGTTGATTGATTCCGCTTGGAACCTTTTGCTTTGAATTTGAATGCTAAGATGATTTAATGGATAAATTACGTATTTAGTGCTTGAACTATAAAACAGAATTTTATTTTTCTCTCTTTAAAAAAACTTTGTTCTAGAGAGAGAATGTGTTGGATTAGGAGAGTAAGAAAAAGAAAGAAGGACAGAGTGATGGGTTATTTGAGTCCTTCCGGAAGTTATCTTGTAGGTTCGAGTTCTTTAGTCTAACCTTGAGAAGTCATACGCTATTCAACGAGAGTTAAAAAAGAAGAAGAAAAAGGAGTTAACAGGAATTAGGTGCCCGTTAGATAAACCTTAAACCCTAGACATTGAAGTAAAGTGCAAGTATAAAGCAAATATTTAATTAAACTTTAACTATAGATATTATTTTATTAATTATAATTATATAATATATATATATATGATTAAATAAAATATTTTTAATTTATTTAACGATTTTGAACTTTTATTAAAAAGAAAATGTTCGAAACCAATAATTAATTAATTTAAAAAATTCATTTATTTTTATTAAAATACTTAAGTAGTCACGAGTTTAATTTATCTTAATTAATAATTTTATTAAAATATTCAAATTTGTATTAAATAATGATACTAAAAGTTTAAATGGAATTTTTAAAATTAACTAATAATTGAATCGAACATTTTTAATTAAAAATTAAAATTATTAATTAAATTAAAAATTCGGTTTAACAATTATATATATAATTATAAAAATAAATGTAAAAAAAATAAAAAATAAATAAATATAGTTTAAAATATACAAAAATTTAATCTCATTTCTAGAATATGTTATATGAAAATTTAAATTTATACCAAGTACCTAGATTGGCTCAATGATTTCTCCATGTTTATTTAGCAAGCTCTATTTAATTTATTTTTTATTTAATTAAATGATGACACATGTCAGTTTTTAACTGCCACATCATCTCCTCTTTTAATTAGACAAAATATTTTAAAAGTTAACGGCTAATGACTTGATTGAAACATTTAAATAGTCGAGTGGTGTGCTTGATCAAATAATTAGTGATCAAAATTAAAAGAAGCAATAGTTGGATGGTTACCAGTGTGTTTTATCCAAAAGATCATATAAAGCTGCGAGGCGTTTGGGGTAATAAAGGCAGTGACAAAACTGAAGCAATCGTGAAGTTCTAAATCAAACCCCCAAGAGTTTTGACTTATTTGCACAACTGTTACTGTTAGAAATCGAATCAAACAGAGAGCAAGAAAATCCCCAAATCTGAACCCTAAAAAATGGAGAAGATATGGGGAAAGACGTGGGCTTTGATGGGTCTGCTTCTTTTGAATTCGGTGTTTAACGTTTCATCGCTTTCGGTGACCGTAAACGACGTCGAATGCGTGTACGAGTATGTGATCTACGAAGGAGACACGATTTCCGGCAACTTTGTCGTCGTTGACCACGACATTTTCTGGGGCTCCGACCACCCTGGCATCGATTTCACTGTAAGTTTATTACCCGATCTCTAAGCTTGATGTCTTTTATTGGTGAAATTCGGGTTAATTTGATAGCTGGGTATTGAATTTCACTGAAGGTTGATTTTTAATGATTTTTTTTCTAATTGGGTTTATTGCGTAGATCCATGCATTTTGAATTGAATTGATCTGTGGGATTTGTTTCTGTTTAAATTTAGGCTTATGTCCTGTAGGGGATCTTAGCGGGATAGTTTGGGGGACTAATCAAAATTTTCAAAAAAGATTGAGGGACTTCATGAGAACTTTTTTTTAAGAAATTGAAGGTCTAATTAAAATTTCAATTTTTTTGAGAGGCTCAATGAAAGTTTTTAACAATTTTGAGGGGGCTTAGCCCAAAATATGCAAATACTTAAAGACTTCATGATGATTTCTAACAAATTTTGAAGGGCCCCACTTGAAATTTCTAAAAAATTGAGTAGCGAAATGCAAATTTCCCCAAACATTGGGGTGCCCTGGCCCCCGTCCACCGGTGTTTATGTCGATCATTGATAGATAGAATGAATGCGATACTAAAGAATCAGTATAACACAACACAAATTGGTGCAGTGTGGAGAATTGCATAACATTATACAAATCTCTATCACACATTATTATACCTTAACCATGACAATGATACGAAAAATAACATGAGTACACAAATTGCTTAATGCAGGTGACTTCTCCTGGGGGTAATACAGTTCACAGTTCGAAGGGGACATCCGGGGACAAGTTCGAATTCAAGGCCCCACGAAGTGGAATGTACAAATTTTGTTTTCACAATCCCTACTCTACACCAGAGTCTGTTTCTTTCTATATTCACATCGGCCACATTCCCACTGAGCATGATCTTGCCAAAGACGGTTTGTTATATTTTTCCCGACATATTTTTAATTCTATATCCTATATCTTTGTTATCTTGCTGTTGTTATTGGTATTATACATTGACTCTAGCATTTAAGTTGCTTTCTCCGCCCTGTTTGTACGCGTAAATCACATTTTGTTATTGTGGTTATTATTGTTTTCCTTACTATTTTGTATTTTTTCTTTGGTTCTCTTTGTTGCAGAACATTTGGACCCAATTAATGTTAAAATCGCTGAGCTGAGAGAGGCTTTGGAGTCTGTTACAGCAGAACAGAAGTATTTGAAAGCTCGTGATACCCGGCATCGTCATAGTAAGTTGTTTCAATTTTGTGCTTTTCCCCATCAGTTGATTTTTTTGATTTTTAGATGGCTAGCTAAATGTTCTTTTCTAGGCAGGATAGTCGTAGCTTATCCGGAGTCCTACACAGATGTATTAAAAAGTTTTCTATGTTTTTCTATTGATTTGGAGTATACTCCATGTCCGAATTTGTGTCCGCGAAGCTATTCGACACTTTAGTTTATGAAAAAAATAAGTTCAGGTAGCATGGCTGATTAGACCATTATGGGAAACACTTTCTAAGAGTTGTGTACTATTTGAATGGCAGCAAATGAGAGCACAAGAAAGCGAGTTATAGGATACGCAGTTGGAGAGTACATTCTGCTAACTCTAGTTAGTACACTTCAAGTTATCTATATCCGCCATCTCTTCAGCAAATCAGTCGCATACAATCGAGTTTGAGCTACTTGATGGCCGAGTACTAATTTCATTTGTTTTTCAGTATCCAGAGGATCATAGGGAAAATCCTATATACGAGTTTACAAACATTATGCAACCAAACTTTTTGTTGTTGTATGTTTCTATTGAAGTCTTGTACTTTAATTTCAGTGTAGACTGACATTTAATGTTTTAGACCGACGTTTATCAATTTTATACCATTTATGTTCACACAATTTAGTTACACTAGTAGGGAACAAAAGTAACACATTTTCATAGTTTTTATAGTCTAAAATTACCTCAATTGATTTTTCCTTTTGTTGATGGACATGTTGCTGGATATTGTATCATGTTCGTGCATATAAAAGAACTTAGGTCAATTAAAAAAACTTTGCGTACCATTTTGCTGCCAATCGAGGGCTCAACTCGGACTCAGTCCTTTGCGTCTGCAATGCCCCCTGGTGTTATCTGAAAGACTTGTTTATGTCAAGGATAACCAAATAAAATTGTAGTCATGGAGTTCAGTTTGATATTGTTTTATGAAACTTTTATGAAAATTCTTGGCAGGAATGAATACGAGAAAAAATCCTCGTATTTAACCAAGCTGATCATGATGAACCAAGCTGCTAAGTGAGTCATGATCAAACATAATCGCTTGATCATGATAAACCAAGCTGCTAAGTGAGTCAAAGTGAGAGTCATGATCAAACGATAGAAGTGATTTGGGTAGTCAGAAAAACTCTACACTAAAATTGAGGTAAGGATATTGCTTCAGCTTTGGGCAAATTCGGGGCATCGAACACCTTGCAAACCCGCTGTTCACCTTTTCCTTTCCTGAGCATCAACCTTATTTTGGCCGCATGAGCAAGAACTTGCCCTCCGGCTGGTTTCTTTGGATTTGATATAAACACTCCACCTCCTGGATCGGCAATAACTGCAACAAACATAAACAAACAATTATCTTGGTTTTGCGATGGGCCTCTACTTTGGCCCCAGTTCATAGAGCGTAGATACCGATTTTGTTGAACACTAGTGTTCGCCTCTGGGAATAAAAAAAAAAAAACTAAAGGTGAGTGCAAACCTTGGTTGGTCATGTAGACCGCAAAATTGAATTCTTCGGCTATTTTTGTCAGTCGGGAAAGCATCTGAGGCAATTTTTGCTGAAAAAATGGCGAAAGGGTTCATGTGAGGATGGATGACAATTGACTCGAAAGCAAGGTTTTGCATTTTAAGTCGGGAAAAACCTGGCGCTCGGCAAGTTCTCCTCTCCCAGTGAAATCTACTCGAAATAGAGCAATGACAGAGTCCACAATCTAAAAGTATATGAATCATAAACAATCATCATCAGACAGATTCCTTAGTATCAGCATTACGGAATGGCGCTATCAACAATGCTCACCAGAAGCCTGAATGGTTCTTCAGACATTTTTGCAGCTAAACCCAGAAGCAGGTTGTACTGATGCTCATATGTGTACGCACGAGCATAAACAATCTTTGACATTCATAGAAAATGAGACATATCTAAAATATGATTCCAAACTTGATGACAATATAGATGTTGATGCATCAAACGCAAAAAGAAAAAAAATGTTGATGCTTACATTGTCAAGAACAGCTCCTGGGTCCATGCCAAATCTTTCTGCTATTGGTATGATTCGATCAGGTCGGCTGACGGTTTATGTAGTTAAAAGTAAACATATTGACTCTAGTTAGAAATGCTTCGAAGATAATTCCCCTACCTTAGCCTCTCAAACATGAGAAACTAGAATCCCCAACTTAAAGAATTGACCAAATAAAGTATACAAAGTTCCTTCAGTATCAATGTAAGCAACTTTCCCATTGCCTCCTCGCATGTTTGTAGGAAGCTGCAAATCAATATAAAAACCTCATCAACAAGCTCCAATGTGTATGGGATTGGAGATGAATGTCAAGTATGAGTACTTGTCCAAACATAATTATATTTAAAATCATTTTTCATGTATTTAATAATCATATCTTATACTATATTTGAATACAGATATTCTAAGAAAAATAACAAAAAGTATTGAATTACGGCATTCCGAGAATTCTGCTTCGAACAGTCAATTTGAACACATCAATTCTCCTCCAAAATCAATCAGAATAACACTGGGAGTTTTGAATCAATTAGACAGGGTAAGAGAACCTGTGCAGACACAAAGGTATTTGTAATCTTTCATTAATCATAGACCACAAAGGTGAAAAATGAACCTGTGCAGACACGCAGAGTGTATGTGCCAGCTGTGTATTGCCAGACCTAAATCAACATTTGGAATTAGTAAACAATTTAATCAAGCATCAGGACCAGCAGCAAAGATTTTGGCTGGCAAATCATAGTAATAGTTAACATCCATACCGAAGGAACTGGAAAACTATAAGCTGTTGTTCTTAGTTCTTACCTAAATTCTCCAAATGCTTCTGTGATACACGATGTTTCTATGCCACCTTTTAAAATTTAGGCATAATTAAAATGATTTCAATTTCAAGAACTCCATATATTAACAGCGATGAAGCATCCGCAAAGAGCAAAGGTACTTACCTCCTAAGAGTTCATCAAGGGATCGGCTTCCGGTTGTTATGCGAAGGACAGATTCTCTACAAAAGCAAAAAAAAAAAAAAGCAATAACAAAATTGCATTCATTTTTACCAGAAACAAAAATTAAAATATAAAACGTGAAATGGAAAAAGGAAAAAAATAAAGCGTGAAATTTGAGTTTACTCTTACCAGAGCATCGCTTCCAGTGATATTGCCACGATGATGTTGCTAGGTCAGCGCACTAAATAGGGCCCACATAACCCACAATGTTGTTGCCATGCCAGCACACAAAATAAGGTCCAAGTATGGGGCGGTACTTTCATTACATTGGTGCTTTCATTGAGAGAATGGAACACTATTTTATTTTCCCGACCCACTCATGTGGAATTGCCATTGTTTACCGGAAAAGATCCAGAAAAATGGATCGCCTCAGCCCACAGGTTCTTTGAATTCTATGGTACAGAAGATTATCATCGGGTAACCATGGCATCTTTTCGGATGGAAGGAGAAGCCAAAAGATGATCTCGGTGGATGCAGCAGTGGCAACAGTTGGCCGGATGAAACCATTTCATCGATGCTATCCGAAAACGGTGGTAACTAAACTTCCTGAGGTTTTCAATGGGCAAATTAAATCGATAGAGTCCTTTCAATACACAGTCAATGGGCAACAACAACTCCTGACCGACTTGAACTATCAGCTGGAAGCTATGAGTACTCAATTCAGCCCACTAGAGCACTTGATTGTTGGCAAAACAGAGATATCGCATCCTGTAAAAGCATATCCTCTTGGTGATACTGGAGAACATACAAAATTGAAAGAAAGGGAATTAGGGAATGAAAGATCGAACGCAATATTGGAGTCCAATTTTCATAGCTCACCAAGCGATAATGACTTTGTACATGAGCAACTGATTCAGGATAATGAGGGATTTAATTCTTCAATTCATCAAACCAACGATTACGAACTCTCTGAACCAACTCTCTATGATGAGGAGATGAAGGGCGAAAAATTGTTACATATGGACTACTGGATTAGGTGTGAAAATTGCATTTGATGGTAATTTTCACGTTGAACATTTTTCAAACACTTGGCAGACGCATAATGAGGAACACAATATTAATCTTTTCTATAAATTGACATGTCCCTTGACTGTTGCAAAAGATTATAATGGTGAAATTGACAAGTTGAATGGTATTTCATGTGTCATCTTTCTTAAGGATGAAGTTGCTTATGAAAATATCGATGATAAGTGTTCTTTAGGGATTGTTCATGCTTGCACTAATCGATATGGGAAACCAATGCTTATAAATTTTAATGAGTTTATGGACATGGAAGACCCTTACGGCTTTAGATTATTGCTAATGGACAAAAATATTATTCAATTAGAAAGTGACTCTGCTGCAATCCAAGTTTATGAAGAAACAGTCGATATAGTGGTGAATGATTCAGTGTTGGGGACATGCTCTCGTTAGTTGAGGTGGATCTTTTGATTGGTGATGATCCTAGTGTTCAAAAGAGTAGCCTTCTGTTGCAGATGGTTGCGCTAATGGGGCGAGACTGTGATCAACCCGCTTGTGTTATATATGAACATGACGAGGAAAGTTTAGAACAAATTAGCAGCAGAGTTGAACGTATAGAGATTGGAGCAAATGAACTCTACTTTTGTGTTGGTATAAATATTGAAGACTTATTGGTGAAAATTCAACCCCTCTCACCACAAGCTCTAATTGTGGATTCAATTCAAAATGCTTGCTTAAGGGAAGTTACTGAAAATGCTGAAGGTCTGTCACTGGTCAGGACATGTACATCAGCTTTGTTACGGTTTGTGAAGAAGACCAACATTCCAATTCTTTTGGCTGGAATGTTAAAAGGTCCGATATAGCAAGATCTTGTGTCTTGGTGCACATCGTTGATGTTGCCTTATGCCTGGAAAGGGAAAAGTATTCATTACGTGTTGGCTTCGCTTTATGATCATTGTTTGAGGTTGGTTGATAAACCAGAAATATTTGAAATGTCACAGTTAGGGCTGCAAACTGTTTTAAACTCCAATAAGACGTTTTTCAGCAATCAAAACTCTGATTCAGAGTTGTTAATTGAACTTATTGTTGTTGCAATCATGGATGAATATCGAGCTCTCCTTAATGAAATTCGGTCATCGTGTGTATCTAGCTCAACGGTTTTTAGACATGTGAATGAAACCCAATCCGAGCAGAGTTGATGTAATTATCTCCGTCCTCATTAAGGAAGCTGTTCTGAAGATCCAAGAGAATGCTATTTTTCTAAATGCTTTCAGTGGAGTATCTTAACAAAGATTCTTGGGATTTTTCAATAGCAGCCTCAATTTGTAGCAACTTCTTAGAGTTTCCTATTTTTAGGGAGTTGCACTCACTAGTGAAATTGAGTTTGGTGTTGAGTCTCGCATGGTACCAATGATGGGCTTGGGAGTGAGCACAGTTACAAAATTAGGATATAAGAAGTGTATAGTACTCAAGTCAGTGGCGAAATCATTAGCAACTCTTGATTTGGGGAAGAGAGAGATGATTGACTCCAATGATTTGAAGAGAGGCATCAATACAATGCTATTTCCTTTGGCTGTTATGAAGGAATTCAACATATATATCACCTGGAACCTTGTGGACAAGGTTCTCTATGGAGGCGCTGGTAATGTTATGAATCGAAAATCGAATGATGCTATGAAAGACCATACGAAGGGGACCATCGAAAGATGTTGAATCACTATTAGTTGAATTTTATTTTACTTATATTACAGAAATACTAGTATAAATAGATTAGGATAACCTAGAGATGGGATATGAGATTTGTTAAAACCTTTAGCTGGCTATTTTCCTCTCTAGATTCAGTGTTCCTTGCTGAAACCTTCATCTTCTTTAATCCTATTTTCTCTATTTCTTCTGCTGTTTCTATTGAAACTGAAGGAAAGTTCATTACATTTATACCTCTGGTATTTCTAGTGTTCTAACCTGGAACCTCAAGAAATAATAGCAATTCTTTTACCACCGAGATCGTTTGGTTCATACATATTAAACTTCTTTAAATTATGAATTCTCTATGAATTCTAACATATTATTTGAAATCGATATCTTAATTCACATATCTTTTACAAAATCAACAATTCACAAAATCCGAAGCATTCCTATCTCATCATTAGTTGGAACGGTTCATAACCAAGATAAGCTTTGCTCGGGGCATTCTAAGGATGTCAACTGTAATCGATCAGACTTTAGAGAAATTCTTAATAAAAGTCCAACAGATGAACAGAATCAAAAGTACTGATAGGAATAGAAAGTTGACTTTTATGTTCATGTGATTATCATGCAGACTTGATAAACTCAATACAAATGAAGTTAGAGCCCGAAAGAACATGATACAAGAGAAGTATTGCAAGGATTGTCAAGGAACGATCGAAAGTATGGAACATACTACCAAATTACAGAATTGCAAAACTAGTCTGGATAGAACTTAAAGCATATTACAAGGACAAACAATTCGATACCAGAATGTTCGAAGAGTGGCATAGCAAAAACTGTCGATCCAAGAAAATATGCTTCGATGGAGTTCAATGGGCAACTCTCTTCGCATCAGCCATATGGGACCTATGGAAAGAGAGAAATGAAGCAACTTTTAACAATAAGAATAGGGACTCAAAGCATATAGCCCATTACAGCCCTAACCAAACTAAAGACACTAAGAGAGTAATAGCAAAGCAAAGTAGTATAATCACCAGAGAATCTCGCCGGGTGAGATGGACGAAGCCTCCAGATGCTCACTGGATCCTAAATACAGACGGAGCATGTAAAACTTCCACGGGTGTCACAGCGGCAGGGGGACTCATCAGAGACGATAACGGAAACTGAGTCCATGAATTATTGTTGAATATTGGAAATACCACCAGTGTTTTGGCCAAACTTTAGGGAATCAGACAAGGGCTTATACTTGCAAAATCCCTGGGTGCGAGGAATTTAATAGTTGAAACGGATTCTAAGTGGACAATCGACTTGCTCAATGGAGAGAAGACAGAGGACCTGCAGCAGAAAATCCTAATCGGAGACTGTGGAATTAAAAAAAAAAAAAAGGACGAGTAACTGAAATTAGTCATATTTGGAGAGAAAAGAACCGAGTACAGACCATCAAGCAAACATGGCGCTTGATATGGAGGAGAGAATGCAGCTCTTGCTTGAACCCCAACTGAACTTATCCCATTACTTCAGGTTGAAGCTTTGTTAAAACTATAGACTTGTAACGCCCCTTTCCATGTTGGTGTCAGAATACAAATTAAAGATGTCACACAATATTTATACACAGTTTAAATTTAGTTTCAGACAATAATTACACAGTTCAATGCTATTTTATATCATAAATAAAATTACCTAAAAATTAGGTAATTGATAACTCAGTAGGATAGCATTTAAAATATAAGTCAATCAACTATTATTCATGTAAAATATTAATTTTTCATAATATTTTTAATATTATGTCCATATAATTTATAAGATGCAAACCAATTTGTAACTAAGATATCCAACAATATAACAAATATATAATATACATGTCACTCATAAGTCAAAAGAAACATATGAGGATGTTCATACTGATTACTGGAGGTTGATCCGACTTTGCAAAACGATGCTCGCAATACTCCTCACTCCGTAGACTTTTCTTTTACTTTATCTACGTGTAAAACAATCACATAGTAAGTGTAATTTAGTGAGTCATTATAAATAAAATAAGGTGATTTGAAGAAATAAAACAACATAAGAATTAAAAACAATATAATTTATCATATAATATATTTGAACTCATAAACCAACTTAAATAAGTCATTCCTTGTCATAAAACCTATAAAACCAATGTCTCACATATTTGTAAATAATCACAACCAATGCTAAATCACAGTAATCGATAAAATATTCACTTTCATTCAGTTACATATTCAATTCTTATAAATTGTATTTTTACATTTCATATTTATAGTCTAATGTATATTTAAAGAGAACGCAAGGTATATGAGTCAGTTTAGTGTGCGCAATATATACTCGTAAGTACCTCATATATCAGTTGTACTCTAAAATACCTCATCGGTAATTCTGCACTCGAAGGTGCTCATATAACTCACACCATAGGTGTCACATGTAATGTACACGAATGTACTATACCAATAATCAATAAACAATAATCACTACACTTCATGGCATGTCAATTGTACCTGAGACTCTCATTGCAAAATACAATGGACTTTGTAATAAAATCATATTCATTTGTATGTCCAATATATACGATACCAACATATTCAAATATTATTTATAAAAAATCAGTACATTGGACAGCTCATACCCAAAATCATCCATAAATCATTTTCTGTAAATAGTATGAAAATATTCCATAATTTAATTCAAACTTTTCCTTTAAAATCATTCGAGGTTAACTCATCACAAGTCTTTCTCAATCATATAATATAAGAATAAGTAAGAATGCACTCACTTTTTTAGCCTTACTATCAAACCTATAACGTCGATACCCTTTACTTTCGTACTTGATCCTTCACTTTTGTTTCGCTTTGATCACGAGATTTATCACAGTCTATACAAAGTCATATGCACAACACATATATTCAAACCATATGTTAGTACCGTGCTAACATAAGCAAAATCCAATAATAAAAATTTATAAAAATATATTCGATATAAAAATCACTTCACAACTCAATATCATCCTTAATATTTTCAAAATGACACTTAAATTCCTTATATACTCATATTTATCCCTAAATCACATAAATTTCATCAACTTTGCGTTTCAACCACAATTTATGAATTCTTTTAGAATTCATCCCAACTTTTCCAATTTATTCAAAATGATCTTTTGTCATTTTACTTAATTTAAATCCAATACTCAAAATTCCAGCATTGTAACAATATATTCAATCTAGTACATTCACATTTTCATAATTTCCATTCAACTCCCAAACTTTCCAATTTCATGACTTATTCCCCAAACTTTACCAAATTTGCAATTTGGTCCAAAACGACATTCTAACCTCAAAATCAGTATTCTAATATTAAATTCCAGCATAGTTCATCAATAATTGAACATTTACACATCAGCCCCTAAAATTCTTAAAATCTACAAAATGGTTCCTATATTTTCATAAAGTTCCAAATTGATCCAATTCACATTCCAAAGCTTGTAGAATCATTCTAATATCAATTCTAGACCTTAGGAAACTTTTTCATAATTTTCACCGTAATTTTTCATCAAGGCCGAATACTTTAGGGTTGGGATTCAAGGTTTGTCAACTTATTCAAACATGAATTCAAGCTCTTAACATCAATTTCATGCAATCCCAATCATTCCCATATCAAAATCAACCCAAATTCAACAATTTCCATGAACCCTAGCTAAGGTCAAATTGTACATATCTATTTCTAGATGATTTTAATCATCACATAAGCTTGGACATGAATCTACAACACCAATAACATAAAAATTCATCCTTAAGTCATCATATTTCAACTTCCCTTCATTAACCCTAATCATGAAATCAATCTTCCAAACAAGTTTAACATGAACCATTTATATCAAATGATAGAGAATTTAATGTAGATTAATTCTTTATTTCACAACTTAATCAAAAAATCAGCCAAATAAGCTTAAAAATGAAATTGGAAATTTCTTACCTTATGGCTATGGTGGTTCACGGCAAAACAAGGGTGAAGATGGCTAATTTCTTGATTTTTCTACACAAATATCATAATACACTTGTTATAATTCTAATTAAATGAATTACAAATTTATTTAATGAGAAATTACAGCTTTATCCTTTAAAAACCATGATAATTACAACTATGCCACCATAATACCTTCCATCTTATATCCACAAATTCAAATATGAACAAATATGATTCACTATCCACCATTGCCCTTGTGGATTTTTGAAAATTACAAAATAGTCACCAAAATTTACAATATTGACTTAACACGGAAAAATCGATCTTAATTACAATAATCCATGTCAAATTTCATCATTCTAAAATATGGAAATAATATTTTTAACCTTTTTCCATCATCCTTCAGAATTTCCGAAATTTTGATTCGATTCGATTATCTAAACTTTTATATAACTTTACTGTTTTATAGCTTTTTGTACAAATTCCGAATCAAAATTTTGATTCCAACGAAAACATCAATTTCGGAATAAACTATTCATTTACGGACCAAAATACATAACTATTGTAAGTTGCATTTTTGGTCCCTAAACTTTCACAAAATTTATACTTTAGCCACTAAACTTTCAAAAATTACATTTTGATCACTAGATAAAATTTGGGTATTCCTAGACTATTATTCGCAGTCCTTTCATTTTCTTGTGTACCAAAAAAATCTTTTATAAAATAATAAAAACGAGAAAAATTAAGAATAAATCAGTAAAATGGTATTGATATCTAAAAATTCATTTAACTTTTATGATGGAGCCAAGCGATCTCAGTGGTGAAAGAATTGTTGTTGTTCTTTGAGGTTTCTAACTCAAGCATCAGGAATGTCATGGATGTGAGCGTTCATCATCAAATGACAGAGAATTATCGTTAAACAGATACTCCCTTATGTTTACTCAGATTCTTTACGATGGAACCAAACTCAGCCTAATAGAGAATGACGTTCGCCTTACTCTACCGAAAGAAAAGGTTGTCCATCTTTTGAGCTTTCCAACTATCTTAGGAACAAAGCTCGGTGTAAAGAGAAAGACGTGAGTAGAATGGAAAAAGATGCCATCCTCTATTGGTTTGCTGATCTACATAGTGGGCTATAAAGGGGAATTATTTTACGGTTTTGTAACATTTTATACATTCATAATAGTTAGACAATAATAGCATTCATTTTATTATTATGCATGATAATATAATATTTAGGGATGAATATATGTCGAGTCAAATTTTGATACACCTAAATTTTGTTTGAGTAAAATATTTTTTGTTTCTCATTTAATTTGATCCGTTTTAAAAAGTTTTATCTAATCTAAAATTCAATTTGATTTTTAAAATAATTTTTTCATTCGATCTGATTTGATTTGACATATATATATATATATAATTCTTATTTTTATTATATAAATAGGGACTTAATTAAAAAAATATATATAAGGAGATGTATTATAGCAATTGTCCTTAAATATATAAATGTTAATTACACTTATTTTTAGGTCAAGTATGGTCAAGTATTTTTTTTCGTTCGATTTGATATAAATTTGACTTGATTCGAACTTATCATCCAAAAAACCCAACCAGATCTGATTTGAACCCAAAATTTAAAAGAAAAATATATCAAGTTAGGTCAGATAAAGCTCAATAGATTTTAGTCAAATATTCATCCCTAATAGCATCGTGACAAACCCTAATGTCTATGCAGGCATCTGAAACCAATGTCCATGACTATATCTTGAAATATGTAGAAGGATCGAGTTGTAATGGAGTTTAGGGTAAGCAGATGCCCACATTAAAATCTAAATTTATTAACGCTAGTCGTTCATTTTATGATGATTCTCACCCACAAATTTTATTTGCATTCATTCCATGTGAATTTTTTTTTATAATTAATATACATGTGCCACTTCTCTCATCACTGTCATTGTTGCTTCTGAATTTGTTCTTTTGTGCCCATATGATGTGCAAGTGGGGGGTTTCATGAGAAAGTGTGATTGTTTTATTGTTTCCCCATCAACAATACACAATCACAGTAAGCTTCCCCCTTTCGTGTCATGTGTGCGTAAAAGTAAATAAAGAAACCCCATTAAGGGACCACTTTTGCTCTCTCCAACCCCACTTAATACTACTTAATTAAGTAGGATCCAAGGCTCTACCAGTCAGGCCCTATGTTTTCTTTTATTGTGAAGTGAAAACCCTCGATCGCACGCGTATTTCAACATATCTTTTGGCATCATTCCACCCTTTGGCATCATAATTTTACTATAATCTCATATATTTGCTAATGGTCTCGTCTTTGATATCAGTGGCGGATTCAGAAATATTGTTAAAGTTGGACACATATATGTTAATGGTATAATTTTTTGAATGAGGTAAGCATAAATAAAATTTCAAGGTAGAAATCATCAATAAAATGGGTCACTAATAGAAGAAAATTCATATTTCAAAGTGGACACAATAAAATTTCAGGGTAGACACTATCAATAAAATAAATAACCAATCGAAGAAAATCTGTATCTAATAGTGAGCACGCGCCCACCCTCAGTCATCAG